AATAAGCACTTGCCTGGCAAGCACAGGGTTCTGAGTTCAATTCCCGATACCACAAAAAAAAAAAAAAAAAAAAAGTTAATTCCTACTTAAAAAAACATCTCATTATTTCTTTAAAACATGTGCCTTCATTATGTAGTACTGTGAAAAGATCCTGATTGTTTTTGACAGGAAAGCCTTGTTATCCCTTTGAAACCAAAAGCTCTTGGGAACATGTTTTCTTTCCTTGCTATTTTTTATAGTTCTTCAGTGCTAGAAACACTGTGTTTCCTGAAATGACAAAAGTCTTCTATATACCACTATATATAACAACTCTAAATTTCTGCTTATGACTTATCTAAACCATTTATCTCTTATGTCCTTATATGACCCAAAATAAGGCATAGAAATCAAAATCCTACAGTATATTTCATTGCCAAAAGACAATCCCTCAGAGACAGTAAGCTACTATAGAAACTATATTCATTTTACCTTTTAAAAAAGTATTTGAAAATTAGCTAAGTTTTCAAATTAATAATCACGTACCTACTTTCTTTTAAAATCAATCTTCCACAATATGGAACATATGCAATTTGTATTACCTGGAGCTTTATAATTTATCAGGAACCTTTGTGTACAGATATTTTCTTTTTCATACTGCACAGTGACATCATGACCACTCTCTGAAGTGGACTGAGCCACACTAGTGGGTCTGAGTCTTACAACAGGACCACATACTTGGAGAGCTGTGTCCTCTACTGTCCTCAGTATTAAAGAATAGATATGAATAGGGTAGAGTCCCTACTTCTTTCTCCTCTGACACTGATCTGAGAACTTTCATCACAGCTTGTCACTATCCAACTAAGGCCATAGTAGACTCCACTCAGTTCTTACTGTGTCTAAATCCAGTAAACAACATTTACCAGATTAGAATGGGCAGAGGAACCACAGAGCTCCTGTGATGATCCACAACATTCCTTCAATGATTTGACGTCTTCCTTCCAAAGGATGGAGGCTGGGACTTTACAGCATGTACTTCTATGCCTCACCCAGCCAACCCTGCCCAGCACAAGTGCCTGATGAGTTGTCAATGAAAAGAAACAAAGTGTAGACAAGAAGCCAGTACCAAGTGCCATGTACAACCACCCATCTGGACAGAGGAGGCCACACTTTGGCTACTCCCCACCTAGAGCTCTCCTTTGGCCAAGGGTAGGAAGAGGCCTATCAAACATTGAATTATGCTGATTTCAGCAAATCTACCTTCTGGGATTCTCTCTTGAAAACACATGTAATCCAAGGCTCTTGTAATATTCATCTTCAATTGTTTTTTCTTTCAGTGCCTGGGATAGAACTCAGGTCCCTGCACTTGCCAAGCAGGCACTTAATGCCACTGAGTGACCCCTCATCCTTAAATGTAAAGTGCAACTCTCATATACAAGATTACCTGCCTCATTTTAAAAGTAAAGAACCTAGTGTTCAGGCATATTTAACAATTTTCCCTTTACCACATAAATGAACCAGAGATGTGACACCACTAGGGTAGAAGCTAAAGCCTGACTCCTGGTGCAAACCTCTTTTCAGTATAGTAACACTGTGCCCAAAGGTGACAGAAGCCACTGTTTCCAAACTGACAGAAATCTTTCAAAAATATGTACAAACTATGAGAAGTCAAATATCACACAAAAATTTATATCCTACTTAGCACTATGTATAGACACTTTAATCACTACATCACTACTTATAGACAAAGAAATTAAGGCTCTGAAAAAGAAACCAGTTTGCCCAGGATCAGCCGGACCACAAGGAAAGCCAAAGGAATTTCTATCTCCTGACCCAGGTTCTACAGACAGGCTTTGAAATTCTGAGTTACAGTCTTTGAAATTCTGGGTTTGGTCTCAGATGCATCCTTGAATCACTTTGGCAGTGTAGGACTGCTGGAAGAATCAAGCAAATCCAATGACTTCTGGTTTGCAGCTTACCTTTTCAAGGTTGAGCATGAGATTTAATAACAAACTTTTATTTATTTTCTTTCTTCTTTTTTAATGTATTTGGTATAGGGTCTCACTGCATAGCTTGGACTTCCAGTGATCCTCCTGTATTCAGCCTTTCCAGCGCTGGGACTATAGGTGCAGGCTGCCACTGGGGTTTTGGTGGCTGGCTCAGCATGCCTGGGGGTAGGGCCAGCACGTGGTGCCCCAGTCCCTGCACTTGCCTAAGCAGGCACTTAGTCTGCTGAGCTTTCTCACTGGCCCAAACTTTTTTTTCTCCACTCATTCAAATGCAACTATACATAGATGCAAAATGCCTGGCATACTGGCACTGTCTTAGCTACAGTCACTTTATTAATTCAAAAAAGATCTAAAATCATACTACAAAAAATAATTATTCATGGAAGTCAACTGAAAAGCCTATTCTTATAAACTGAGAAAAAGAAACCAGAGTTGTAAGGAGAAAGGCCAACAAGGGGGGACCTCCAGTTTCTCCACAAGTCCTTTTCTCCAAATGCCCATTAGGATTGAAATTGGCAAGACAGGAAGCAGGCATCCAAAGCTGCCACCTGCTCAGCTGTGACCTTTCTTTGTACACATAAAAGTTACATTTTTTTCCAAGTGAAAAAATGAAAAATCCAAGTACTGCTCATTTCCTGTTGACCTCTGGTGACTATCCTAGGTGGAGATTTCCAGTCTTTAAGGAAGTGTTTCCCCAGCTGTTTCCGAAGGTTGGCTGGGCAGTGTGCATGAAGTGCGCTCTCATACCTGGCCATCTAATGAAAGTGATGAGCAAGGACTGATCTCCCTAAAGACTGATGTGGCACATCCAGGGCATGGTAAAATATTTGTAGAGTCCAAGTAATCTGTGAACTAAGGGCAACCAAGAGGAAGCTTTAGTACAAAGCTTAATAGTGACACTGATTGAGAAGTTCTGAGTGCAGAAGAGATGCACTTCCCACTCCTAAAAGCATGGTGACAAACTTAGCTTTGCTATTAACTTAAGGAAGTATTTATAGGAAAAGAGAAATCCCAAGAAACACAACTTACAACAAATTTTTAATTTGCTAGTATAAAAGCAAAATTAAATTCATCTCTACTCTATACCAAACACTAGGGCAAAAATCAGAAACAGAAGCACCAATAAGCCAAGCAAAAAGTTAACCAGGAAGCCTCTCTGGGGTGAGACACTCAATTCCATGAACAAGAGCAAACTTCCCCTCATCACCATACTACCCTAATCCACCTAGACACTACGGTTTCAGAGCCCCTTCACTTTACACACAGAAAGCCTTGTACAAGTACACTTAATTCCATCCCAGCAGTCACACCACGAGGGCATCGCAGCTGCTACTCTTCTTTTTTTCATAACTGGGGACATCTCTCTGATGAAAAAATCAAATTTGATAGGTCAAATGAACAGAGCAATGTCAGTGGGCCTCAGAGATGGGACTGTAAGGTGCTACTGAGACTCAGGGCTAGTATTTCTGAAAGCAGCAATAACAAAGGAAAGCACCCAAGCTAAACACATACCCAAGGAACTTGAGCCCACCTGTAACTAACAATGAAAGGTATTTTTTTTTTTTTTTTGGGGGGGGGGGGAGGCCAGTAAAGCTAACTAATGTTTTTTCTATCCTAATAGCAGTTTTCACACCAAAATACCTTGCATGCACAAGTTCCCCCTCTTCCCCCACCAAGATCTGGTCTTACCATGTAGTCCCAGCAATTTTTAATTTCTGAAACACACATTTCCTTACACTTATAGCTTTAAATATACTGACACCAAAATTCTTTATTAATTAGTAATTCTACAAGTCCAGCCCTCTTCGTTGAGAATGAGGCAGAAGTGAATTTAATGGAACATATTTGGAATACAGCTACAAAACTAGTTAACTCTTAAAATATTTTCTTTTAAAAACAGCCAGCCATAGTAGTGTATTCCTGTAATCCCAAAATTCATGAGGCTGAGGCAGGAGGGTTAGCTTGAGTTTGAGGCCAGCCTGAACTACATAGTGAGACCCTGTCTCAAAAACAAATAACAACTATCAGAACATTTAATAAATTTAAATTAATATTTCTGAAAGAAGTGAAAATTTTTCTTCCTACAAAACTCAGTGGAAAGGGGCTGGGGAGGAGATGGCTCATTAGGATAAGCGCTTGCCTGGTAATTGCAAGGGCCTGAGTTCAATCCCCAGTTCTGCAAAAGAAAAAGAAAAAAAAAAAAAAAAAAAAACACCTCAGTGGAAATTCATGTTATGTTTGACATGTATAAGAATGTTGCAAACTTGGTCTGAAACAAGAATGTTAAGCCAATTCACTTGCCTAGTTTAAAAAAGGCACAATGTTGAAATATAAACAGATAAAAGAGGACAAGAAAAAAGTATGAGCACATTGAGAACAAAAAGGATATTTGCTTTTATTACTTCAGTGAGGGCCCTAGTGAGGCAGTAATATTCTCAACACCATCAGAACCCAAGGACAAACACCACATAGTATTGGCCAGGCCACAGTTCTTTTCATCATCTACCAACCCATGGAGGATCCTTTCTGCAGCACCTAGTAAACCTCAACTGAAAGTCTTTTTTTTTTTTTTTAACCACTCAAGCCAGGCACACTTGAGAAGAGGACAATGAGCCAAAGTCAGCCCAGGCATTATTCACTTTGGGCATTTTATCAGTCTTCCTCCAGCAAGTTTCAAAAGCCAATTCCTTTGTTGCATTCCCACCACCTGGCATCTGGGAAGGAAATACAGTACTTCTTCTTTTCCCGTTTCTTAAGTATTGTCTACAGTTTGAAACACCTATCCAAAGAAAGTGGATTCTCTTTGATTCTCTGAAATGTTTCACTTGCCAAAGAAAGTGCACTCACTGTCCCTTTATCTAATGTAAAAAGTTAAATAACACCTTTTAAGAGGAAAGAGGGGACACATGCCTCTCCAAAGTATCAATAGGGAGTCCTACCGGGTAGGTAGGTGGGTTGGGGGAAAGGGGACTCCCTGCAGCAGGCCACATTCCGATGGCTGAATCACCTACCTACCTTTCACTCTGGGTCCAGAGCTGCTGGGGCCAGCGCTGCTCACCACACAGGGCGCGTCCTTTCTGGGCCTCTTGCTCTGTGGCCGCACACTGGACCGGAGAAAGTGGTGTTGGTCCTGGGGGCTGCCTTGCGGTGGGGATGGCGCCTGTGGCCCTCCCGGGGGCGCGGGGGCGCCGTCGGCCCGGGAGGTCGGTTCGTCCCTCTTTGTGCCGCTGCCGTCCTCGGCAGCGTCTGCGCCGCCAGCCCCCTCTCCTTCCAGGGACTCTTCATCGGCTGATCTCTTGCCCAGCTTCTTGAGCCCTTCCTGCCCGCTGCCGGCGTCCCCCAACTTCACTGTCATCCTGCGGCAGAGAGAGGGCGAGGGGCGGTGAGGCGGCGCCAGGCAGAAGTTTACCGCCGAGCCTCAACATGGCGGCCGTTGTTTGTTCCAGAGCCGCCCGCCTGCCTACCCGCCAGGCCCGCACCGTGCCGGACTAGAACCCTCCTGCCTCAGCCCACGCCACACCAGACTCGGACCACCTGCCCCAGCCTGTACCTTGGCCCACCCTGCCTCGAGCCTGGGACGCCCCTCGCCCAGGCCCGCCAACCCCGGCTAAACGGGCAGGCCCAGCCTTGGCCCCGTGGGGTCCCACCGCCCCACCACTCACTCCACAGGGCCGAGCTCATGGTTAGGCGTGTGCCTCTCCTAGTTCCTGGCTACCCTTCGCCGCCTGACCTCACCCAACATTCGAGCCTCCAACCACGCACCTGCCCAGCAACGGCCCTCAGAGCCCAGCCCGCCCGTAGGACCACGGCGCGCCCGCTAGCCTGTGCGAGGGCTCCACCACCCACGGCCACAGCCCCGCGGCTGCCCTGCTGGGAGAGGCCCGTTACTCGGGAATCTTCTCCGTGGAGGGGCATGAGTGCTGTTGTAGGGACCTGCTGACCAAATACCAAGTGCAACAAAGGAGGTCGTTACGTGGAACAGGTTGGGGATACCCAGGAAAGTGACAGCAGTTTAGTCCTGGTCCACTTGCGACAACGGCAAAAAGCAAATTGTGTGAACACTCTTGGTTAACAATAAAACTGTTGCATTAACTGCTACTCACTGTCGCATTAAATGCAACAACCAAAAATGTTGGCAGCGCAGTGAGCACGGCCACCCAAAATAAACTAAGAATCTGTTGCACACCGACACGTCAAGCACAGACAGAATGCAAAAAAAACCCAACCAAACAAACAAAACAAAACAAACAAAAAAACACCGAGAAACGTTCCGTTTCTCAACGGATTTGGACAGTAAGTTTACCACACCCTGCGAAGAGGAGCGTTCTCATTAAAAAAAGAAAAAGCGAGGCACAACGTTGATGCCTAAACGCAGCAGCGCGGTCAAGGACCGCTCAAAAAACAAATGAGAACGTGGGCAAAACTCAAAGGAATACCACGATTGATGCGTCTGCCACAAAATGGTGTGCAGCTTTCTCTGTTAGAACTGATCTTTAAAATCCTGGTCCTTATAAAACCCTGCCCCAGAACAAAACTACCCAAAACACACAACCAGACCAAAGGGCTCCAAGGCATAGAACTTCTCACCCTTCACTTTTCAAGCCATCCCCATTTCCCTGGCTCTTAAGCCCTAAGTCCTCCCAGCTCTCTCCCTGGCTTCTAAGTAGTAAGGTACTCCCCAGGGCCAGTCTTGCCCCAACAGCCACGCAGAGGCACCAGCCACAAGGTCCGCTCGACGTGCGCCGGTGTCGGCACCGAGCCCGTCACTTCCTGACGGTGGGAGGCGCCGGTTCGGCGGGTCTAGATCTGGCCCCACACCCTTTGTCCTGTCTCCGGGGGCGAGCTCATAACTCCCAAAGAGACTGGTTGCTGCCTGCCCGCCCGCCCACGGAACCAAGGTCCGCGCACCGTGCGTCCACCAGCCAGCCTGCCGTCACCTTTTTCATCCACGCTTCGCGGCTGCCTGGCTCCCCGGGTACCCGGGCCTCCGAGGGCGCCGGCAGAACCGGCCGGGTCGGGCAGTGCCGGCTGCACGCGCAGAGCTGCTGTTTGCTAGTGAGACGCGGTCACCGAGCGGCGTTCACCCGGCACGTCCGCTCCGCAGGCCGGCGCGCGGCTTGCGGGACTGCGGACGCCCGTGCTGTCGCCGCTCCTCCTTGGAGGCCCGGCCCGCCGCTCTCAACACAGTTCCGGCTACGGCGGCCGCTGGGGACGCGGAGACGGCGCCGGGGCGGGGCGGGACGAGCGTCACTCACGGGAGCGAGCACGCTTGAGATGTCCTTCGAACGCGCCCCCCCCAGCGGCGCTGCCATTGGCCAGAGGCAGCCGCGCGGGCTCGCACGCACAGGTTGAGAGGCGGATCCACGACGCGAAGAGTGTTGTGACGCCGGCCTCTCACCCGTGCGATCCGTGCGTCTCTTTGGATTGGTAAACTCACAGCCAATAGAGTCAGCGGGAACGCTATGATTGGCTGCATCCTTGTTGACGGATGCGTGAGAAGAAAACGCAGCCTCAGCGCAGCTTCTGGAATCGCGCGCAAACCTAAGTGGGGAAAAGTTAATATGGGAGCGCATCTGAAGAGACAAACACTGTCCCGCTAGTGTAGCCAATGGTCGCTTTTCCTCATCATGGCGATGGTGTGTCTCTGAAACTAGTGTTTATAAAGCAGGATCCTACATACGCTTGAGGTCTGCGCCTTTTGTTATTCAGCCCTTCAACAGCGTGCACATTGTCATGTCTGCTTCTGACACGCGGCAGTTTTCAGGCCCGATGCCGGGTCCTAAGGCCTGCGTATGACCCTCTCCTCCGACCACTGTCTGAACGTCCCTGGGAAGCGCTAAGTCGTGCCTCGTCTGAGGCGACGCGGCTGAGGCTCGCGAGATACAGGTCGCTGGCCCACGAAGTTAAGGGAGACGAGGCGAGAGACTGCAGGTCTTGGACCAAAACTGTACCCGTCACCCTCTTGAGCCCAGCAAGAACTGTCCTGCGCCCGTCTGCTCGCCAGCCTAGAGGCTCTCTCCGGGAGGGGCTACGGCCAGGAGGTGCGCCGAGCGCTGACGACCGCTGTCGGTTCTTTCCGAAGCCCGGGCACTTCGGGCAGCCTCGGCTGCGCGTCGCCACCCTTCGGCTGTTTCCGACTTTCGCGCAGTGTTGTCCCGGCAACTCTGACGGCGCGGCTGCCCCGTGGAGGTGAGTGCCCTCCGGGAGAGAAAGCTGAGAAGCTGAGGCCGGTTGCGGAGCCCAGCGGGGCTGGGAATGGCTGAGGGAGGGAAAGATCTGCTGGGCCCCAATCCTGCCTTTCCTCGTGGTCCTGTAGAGAACCGAGGGGCGCCACTGGCACGGGCTTGTCACCACTGGACACAGTCGAGGTCTAGACTGACACCTGTTTGTGGTGCGAGTCTCTGTAGGTGGATGGGGTGGGATGGGGGGTTGCAGAGCTACATCTGGAAGACAACAAAAATAAAATGTCTTGTGCTTGCCAACCATAAGTGGGTTGCTTAAAGGATACCCAGGGCCAGAGTAGACAGCGGTGTACCAACCACTGCACGAGGCTTTTCAGTCAGGTCCACTGTATACAGCCAGTGACCTTGCACTGGCTTCAGAGAGTGAAACTGTAAGGTGGTCACTGGTAATTGCTACTGAAAGTCCACGATGAAATCCATCCTTACGTTCCTTACGCTGTTACTGAGGAGTAATGCTTCTTAAATCTCTTACCCTATTCCTTTGGCTAAACGAGCTTAAGAAACTTTCTCAAAAGTTAATGAAGCCGGGGAGATAGCTCAGTAGAATAAGTATTTGCCAGTTTTATGTCTTAGATACTAGGAGCTTGTGTTAAGAAAAGGAAGTGTAATTGTTTTTGAATAGAGGCCTTTAGTAGATTGCCATTCATACTGTTAACTATCTGATTCCTTGGTTGTAATTTGGTAACATCTTGTACTATACAGATGATACAGCTGGTAAAACCTATTAAGCAAGAGAGGAATAATGGATAATATATTGGGTATTATATAATATACTTATGCATTCTATAAAATGGACTCATTTAGAGCTGTCCTGTCACTTCTTACAAGTAACATTATCAGGAAGATGCCTCCTCTGGGCAATAAGGCAGAAGACAGGAGGAGTGTAAATCAGAGCCCAGCCTGGATTACATACCAAAACCCTGTTTCAAAAAAAGACAGACAGACAGACAACATCCTTCTGTTTTGTTTTGTTTTTTCATAACAATCTTCATCTGGGATTTCCAGGTTGGGGTTGATGTGTTGTGCTGTGCTGTGCTGTGCTGGTTTTGACAGGGTCTTGCTATGTTGTCCAGGCTGTTGTTTCAGCACTCTTGGGCTCTAGGAATCCCCTTCTCAGCTCAGTAGCTGGAATTACAGCTTTGTGTGGAATTGCCTGGCTTTGAGGCCCTTTCTGTGTAGAGGAACTGTTGTATGGGGCTGTAGCGCTCAAATATCCCCACTGTGAGGAAGAAAATGTGATGACACAAAACAATCCATGAAGCCAGGAAGCCAAGGGAAGAGGATCCTTGAGCGTAGGATTTCCAAGAAGAAACTTGGGAAGGATACCAGGATTCCATCTCAAAACAAACAAATAATACATGTATGGAAGCAAGAATCTCTAGCAAAGCCCAGGCAGGAAAGAAAATACTTTAAAGATCCTTCATAAATATTCATAGTTCTTACAAAGTGATATTGAAAATAAAAAATGGGAAATCAGGCTTACTTTGTATCATAATTCATCATAATCAAACTAGTAAATTGCTTGTTTTCCAGAGAAATCTTATTAAATATAATTTTTTCATAGCCCAGGATTAGCATGGTGGCTGGTTATAACATATTAAAACTGATATGAAAAGATTTTCATTGCTATTTTAAGTCACCCAGATTTTGATCTGGCGTATTTTCATTTTTAATAGACTTGAAGGTTTCCTTAAGGACATTACTCAAGGAAGCAGGACCCTGACCAGTGAAAATCTAGAGATCATACTTGGCTACTCTGTCAGAAGCTTTGGATTTGTGCTCTTGATAGTAATTCACAACCTCAAAAATTATGACTGCAAAGTGGATGTGGTAGAATCAGCCAAATAGCTCAGTGGATTAAAGAGCCTGCTTAAACAGACTCAGGGGCCAGGGGTGTGATCCCCCAGACTGCTGTCCTGGCCTTGCCCCCAGGGCATACTGAGATGGACTAAGACTGAGCATGGTGGTATGCAGCTGTAATCCCAGTGCTTGGGAGACTGTAAACAGGAGGATCACTATGAGTCCAATCTACGCAATGAAACCTTGTAGACCTTGTACTA